GGGGGGGGGGGGGGGGAGGTTGGGGTACCATCATGTAGGGGTCATCAATGATGGGGTAGAAGAAGTCGGTGGTCTGCACCAGCGAGAGCCCCCCGTGCCGCAGCGGGATCACGCACGAGTCCAGCCCGATGCCTGCGGGCACCGAACGCTCAGGGGGGATACGAGCGGGGCACAAAGCCCATCATGGGGGGCACAGACCCCGCTGGGGGTGGGGGACACAGCGACGGGGCAGAACCGGATGGGGACGGAAACGCAGATCCGGTTCGGGGAGGGGAAACCGGATCTGAAGGGGCCCGTCCCCTCCCGCGGCTCCTCCCCTCCCCCCCAACGCCCTTTGCCCCTTTGCTCCCCCCGCCGGGCCACCTTTGTCCCATTCCCTCCGTGATGTGCCTGAGCGCCCCCGGCCTGTCCTGCGCCCTCCAGACTCCCTCGAGGCCGCTCACCCGCCCCCCCGCCATGTCCCTGTGCCCCCCCAGAGCCCTCCTGGCTTTCCCCTGGGGCCCCCCAAGCCCCTCGAGAGGCCCAGCCCCCTCTGAGGGCTCCCCATAGGCCTCTCAGGCTCCCTCAACGCTCCCCCAGCCGCATCTCTGAGCCATCACCATAGCCCCCTGACCCCGGAAGACCTCCCAGGACCCCCAAGATCTTCCCACTCTCACCCAGTGCCGGGCCCCCGCCGGTCTCCGCTTCCGACGCTTCCCCTCCGCCTCCTCCTCCCAGGCGCTGCCCCTCGAGTCCCGCCAGGAGTTTGAGCAGCGTCTCCTGCGGGACTTTGCAGCCTCAGCCGCGCAGTTCCCCGTAGGCCGTGAGGCGCCAGGACGGGTCCAGGCCCAGAGCCGCGGGGTCGAACCGCCGCGACCCACCCGGCACAGCCGCCATCTTGGAATGCACTAGCCCGCCGAACACCGCCGCCCCTGATTGGCTGCGGCGCTGACGGTGGCGGGAGCTGATTGGACGACGCCTGAAGAAGGCGGGCGGGGATTGCTCGGTTTTGAGGGGGAGGAGGCGGTGAAAATGCTGGGCGTGGCCTAAAGGGGTGAAATCCATGAGACGGGGGGCGATTGGTCAGTGGACGAAGTAGGCGTGTCTTAGGGGAAATGAGGCGGGAACAGCGCGAGGCCGTGGTAGGAAGCTCGCGAAGCGAGCGCTGATTGGTTACACTGGCCGAGGGGGCGGGGCGCCACACGAAAATGAGCTCGGGATTTGCTGAACCGAACGGAAGTGGAGCCGCTCCCCGTCGGTGGGCGGGGCCGCGGCGTGGCCGGAAGCGGAAGTGTTTAGCAGGTGCCACCATGGCGGCCCCGGGGGCGGCGGAAGGCGGCGGCTCCGGCGACTCCGCGGGGCCCGCAACGGGTGAGGCGGGGACGATGCAGGGCCGCCGGGGAACGGGAGGACCCGGGAAGAACCATGTGGGGGCTGCGGGGCGAGGGATCTGGCCGAGGGCCTGAGGGGGGTCCTGGGGTCTGCGGGGGGATGGAGGCTGGGGGTACTCTGGAGGGGTTCAGGGGAATCCGGGGATCGGGGAAGGGATGGTGCAGAGCAGGGGGGCCGGTGCGGTTCTGGGGTACGGGGGGGCGCGGGTCAGAGGTGGCAGAGGGGCCTTGGGCGGGCGGAGCTTTGGGGCACATCCGGGGTCTCCGGGAGAAGTGACGGGGTGTCCCGTCCTGGGACCGCAAGTGACCCCCGGTGTCTCGGCGAGTGAAGTTTCTCGTCCCAGAGTGCCGGGTGGTCCCACCGCGGTCGCGGAGGGCTCAGCCCGGCGTCCGTCCCACCCCCTGGTGACACCCTGGTGTCCCCGCAGTGTCGCGGCGGGTGAAGTACGCCAGCCTGGGCGTGCTGGTGCTGCAGAACGCGTCCCTCGTGCTCAGCATCCGCTACGTGCGGACCCTGCCCGGGGAACGCTTCCTGCCCACCACGGCCGTGGTGATGGCCGAGGCCATGAAGGGCAGCGCCTGCCTGCTGCTCCTGCTCATCCAGCACAAGGGTAGGGACGGGGGACATCGGGGACAATGGGATCTATTTCTGCTGCTCCTACTCATCCACACAGGGGTGAGCCTGGGGACATGGGGGGGACGGGGACACACCTGGCGTTGCCTTCTCCAGTTCTGAGGTGAGCACAGGGTGGGGGGATGGGGACATTAGTCCACATTAGTGGACTGGGGGGTCTCATGATGGGGATACAAAAGGACACAGGGCAGAGGAAGGGACAAGAGAGGACATTGGAGGGATGAAGGTGACAAGTGGCAGAGATGTCGGAGACATGAGGGGACTTGAGGGTCTTGTGCTGGGGACACGAGGGGGCATGGGACACTCATGGTGGGGACCCTGGGGGAGTGACAACAATGGAGTGGCGACGACCAGCCTGGGCGGTGTTCCCTGTCCCTGAGCCCTGTCCCCCCCAGGCAGTGTCCGGCAGACGGCGGTGACGCTGCACGAGGCCGTGGTGGGACAGTTTGGGGACACGCTGCGCTTGGCTGTCCCCTCCCTCATCTACACTCTGCAGAACAACCTGCAGTACGTGGCCATCTCCAACCTGCCTGCGGCCACCTTCCAGGTGGGACACGGGGATAGGTGGCACATGGGGACCACAGGGTCAGGTGGGGATGTGCAATGAGCTCGGGAACCTTGGGGATCGTGGTGGTGTCCCTGTGCCCATGTCTCTGTGACAGTCACGGTGTATCTGTCCTCATGTCCCTGTGACAGTGTCCAGGGTCCCTATGCCTGATGTCCCTGCTGGTGACAGTATCCCTGTCCCTGTGACCTTGTGCCCATGTCCCTGTTTCCACATCTGTGTCTGTGTCCCGCAGGTGACCCTGTCCCCCAGGTGGCCCTCTTCTCATCCCTGTCCCCAGGTGTTCCTATCCCCACAAGTGATCCTGTCCCTGTGTGACTGTGTCCCTATCCCACAGGTGACCCTGGCCCTGGCCCCCAGGCGATCTTGTCCCCACAGGTGTCCCTGTCCCCAGGTGACCGTCCCCACTTTCCCCACAGGTGACGTACCAGCTGAAGATCCTAACCACGGCGTTGTTCTCAGTGCTGCTGCTGGGGACGGCGCTGTCGCGGCTGCAGTGGCTGTCGCTGGCGCTGCTCTTCGCGGGGGTGGCGCTGGTGCAGGCGGAGCAGGCGCGGGCCGTGCCCTCGGCCGCGGTCATGTCCCCGTCACCTGGCCCCGAGGGGCCGGCGCAGAGCTACGCCGTGGGGCTGGCAGCCGTGGCTGCGTCCTGCCTGTCCTCAGGCTTCGCTGGCGTCTACTTTGAGCGGCTGCTGAAGCGCTCGGGCGGCTCCATCTGGGTGCGGAACGTGCAGCTGGGCGCTGTGGGCACAGCCGTGGGGCTGGGCGCCATGCTTGCTGCCGAGGGCCCAGCCGTGGCCGCTCTCGGCTTCTTCTACGGCTACAACGGCGCCGTGTGGGCCGTGGTGGTCAACCAGGCGGCCGGGGGGCTGCTGGTGGCCGTGGTGGTTCGCTACGCCGACAACATCCTCAAGGGCTTCGCCACAGCGCTGTCCATCCTGGCCTCCACGGCTGCCTCCGCACACCTGTTCGGCTTCCGGCCGCGTGCGCCCTTCCTGGCCGGCACCGCCATGGTCCTGGCCGCCGTCGTGCTCTACGGGCGGCCCCGCGGCACCAGCAGCCGCAGCCAGGACAGCGGCAAGTCAGTGGGGCCGTAGGGACAGGGACACCCTGGGGGTGGCCTGGGATCACCAGGGCCAGCCCTGACCCACCGGGTAGGGGGAGGGAAGGGGGGGCCGTGAGCTGGGGAGGGGACCCAGGTGTGGGGTCAGCAGGTCTGGAGCCCCGTGTGCAGTCAGCGGATCTTGAGTCAGCAGGTGGTGAGGGTTCGTTAGGGCTCATTAGGGTTTGTTGGGATGGTGGAGGAGCTGGGGAGGTCAGCAGGTGGGGGGACCCGGATCTTGGCCTTCTTTGGGTGGTGGGGACTTTTTAAGGCTCATTAGGGACCTGGAGAGGTTTGTAGGGGGTAGTGAAGGTCCTGGTGGGGTTCTTCAGGTCCTGAGGCTCATTAGGTAGTAGGGACTCCCATCTTGGGGTTCATTAAGGTTCATTGGGCTCATTGAGGACCTGGGGAGGTTTGTTACATCATGGGGGCTCATTAAGGCTTGTTAGGGGCTGACAAACGTGGGGCTGTGCTGTGAGGAGGGACATGGAGGGGCTCATTAGGAGATGGGGAGCTCATTAATGCACATTGATTAGTGGGGACTCATTAAGGCTCTTTGGGTGTTGGGGGACCCCGAGGTGGAGATTAATGAGGCCGATGCAGTCAGAGGTTAATGGAAGAGTTTGTGCTAATGAGGGGCTCACTGGGACCCCCGGCCCCTCTGTGGGGTTCCCCTCCCTCCCTTGCCCCCCCACCTGGTGGGGGAGGGGCCAGATGTACAGATTTTGTAGGGGGGAAGGGCCGGGCCTATTTTTAACAAGGTTTGGGGCTAATAAAGGTGGTTTTGGTTAACAGCATGTGCTGGGGGGAGGGGTACTAACACACTAACACAGGGGGGTGGGGAGCTATGGGGACCCCTGTGGGTCCTGTAGGATCCATAGGGGACCACTCAAGGCCATACAGAATTCATAGGGACACCATCCCCCTAGCCATATAGAATCCATAGCAACTGCCCAGGGCCCTATAGAATCCATAGGGTATCCCCCAAGGCCATATAGGATCTGTAGGGACCTTTCCCAGATGCCACAGGAGGCACCCAGGGCCATACAGGACCCACCAGTGCTCTCCCTAGCCCGTATAGAATCCATCTGGAACTCCCCCAGGGCCATAGAGGACCCACAGGGCCCCTTGGCCGCCCTCAGCCCTGGGGTCTCTCTCTCTCTTGCAGGTCTCCCGACAAGGACAAGGGCACCTGACAGCACCAAGTGACCCCCCCCCCCCC